ATATAGAACTGCCCACTAAAATAGTCGAAGGGGGGGGGGAGGTGCGGGAGACCAGCCTGCGGCGAGAGGTGGGGAGGGGTGGGGGGAGGGGTGGGGGAGGGGTGGGGGAGGGGTGGGGGAGGGCACGGCGGGAGGCCCTTGGGGAGAGGGGTGGCGCGGGGACGGGGCGGGGCTGCGGGGGGGGAGGGCGCACCTGCAGGGGACAACACGGCTTCCGTGGTGGTGGTGGTGGGGTCCGTTCACTGCGCCGGCGGGGAGCGGCGGGGAGCGGCGGCCAGTGCGGAGTCGACGCGTCGCACATGCCGCAGCTTGGCGGCGCCGCCTGCCGCCGCTGCCGGCTGGGCGGCGCGCGCCAGCTTAGAGAGGAGCGAGTAGTGTGGCCGGCAGCGCGAGGCGGCGGCGCGCGCGCTCCTCGCGCGAAGCTCGTCGGCGAGTCTCTCCTGTGAGTGTGTGTGTGGTGGTGGTGGTGGGGGGGGGGGCTTGGGTCGTGGTTGTGTTATGGGTTGGGCTAGGGTTAAGGCTAGGGTTAGGGTGTCGGAGGAGGCGGTTGGTGGGCGGCCCGGGGGGGGAGGGGGGGTGCGAGGCTGCGGCGCACATCTCGGCCAGCCTCGGGTGATCTCGGGTGATCTCGGGTGGTCCATGGTCTCGGATCATCTCGGCCGATCTCGGCCGATCTCGAAGAGCGCACCGTCCAGGCCGGCAGCCGTGTACAAAGAGGTGTCTAGGAAGTGTCTAGGAAGTGTCTAGGAGGTGTCTAGGAGCTGTCTAGGAAGTGTCTCGCACCGTCCCGGCCGGCAGCTGTGTGTACCGCGACGGCGCCTCGGAGAGCAGCGACGACTGCAGCTCGCTCAGCCACGTGCGCTGCTCGCTGTGCAGCCGCGCCGACAGCGCCGCGTACCGCGCCGCCGCCTCGCTGCCGCCGCCCTCGCCCGGCGCTGCGCCCGCCTCAGCGAGCGAGAGAAGCTCGGCGTGCTCGGCGGCGCTCAGCTGGCTCTGGCCGCAAAGGGCCGGGGCGTCGCTCCTCCGGGCGGTGCCGCTCCCTTGGGCGGCGCCGCTCCTCCCCTCGCCGCGCGCTGCCACCGGCACGTCCGCCGCCGCCCCCGCCGCTGATGCAGACGCTGCCGCTGATGCGGACGCCGCCGCCGCCGCCGCCGCCGCCGCTGAAGCGCCCGCTGCAGCGCCCGCTGCAGCGCCCGCTGCAGCGCCTGCTGGAGCGTCTGCTGCAGCGCCTGGTGAAGTGCCGTTGCCGCTGGCGCCGCCGCTGTTCCCGCCTCCACCGGCACCACTCGGTGGGATCGGGCCTGTCTCTTCCTGCCTCGACCGCCCGCGCCTCGCCAACGCCGCCGCTGCTGTTCCCACCGCCGCCGTTACTGCTCCCACCGCCGGCACGGACGCGGTGCTAGCGACCACGGCCTGTGCGCGTGAGATTGCGCGCGAGAGAGCAGACTCTTCTGGCGCTCCTAGCGCCACCGCCGCCGTTGCTGCTCCCACCGCCGCCGCCGTTCCGGCCGCCGCCGCCGCCGGTCCAGCTCTCGCCTCAGCCGCCGCCGCCGAGGGCCGCTGAGGCGGCCTTCGAGGCGCAGCGGTCAGGGCAGAGGGGATGGGGACAGAGGCCACGGCAGCGCCGGTCGCGGCTGTGGCGTTTCGGTCGTTCCATCGGAACGATGCGGCGCCGAGCCGCACCTCGGCCGCTAGCCTCCTCACCGCCTCCGCGCGCCGCTGCTTGGCCGGGCTGTCGCCGGCCTGGCTGCTAGCGCAAGCGTTCGCCGGCGCAGGCTCCGGCCTGCGAGGAGGCGCCACCGCCGGCTGCGGCTGGCTCGGCGGCGGCAGTGGACGCTTGTGCGGCCGCGCCGGCGGCGCCTCCCGCTGCCGAGCCGCCGATCTGGCGGGCACCGCCGCGACCGCTCCGCCGTTGTTTGCGGGCGCATCCGCCGACACGGCGTTTGCGCGGTTTGCGCGGTCCGCCGCGAGCCGCGCGACCTTGAGGAGCTCGGCGGGAGTGGGAAGCTCGCCAGCAAAGGTGAAGTCGACCGAGTAGCGGTCCAGGTCCTCCAGTCGCATTTACACACATACGGGCATGCACGGGCATGCAAACCAGGGTTCGGACTTTTTGCGGGGTATGGTATGGTAGGGTCGGCGCCCTGGCGCCGCGACCATACCCCCCCACCCGCACAGGACGTCGCCTCTGGCCAGCAGGACCATACCCCCCCACCCCCCACCCCACCACACGAGCGCGTACAGTAACCGTCGTGTTAGGCCGTCCGGTCGTGCGGCACGTGTTCGCGCGATGCAGTCTGCGCGAGGTGACCCGCCGGCAATCGTGCTCACCCCTCAGAGCATGTCCGCAAAGGCCGCCAGGGCCTTGCGTGCCGGCGCAGGCGCGGGCGCAGGCGCGGGCGCGGCCGGTGCGAGCGCGGGCGCGGGCGCGGGCGCGGCCGGTGCGAGCGCGGGCGCGGGCGCGGGCGCGGTCTCCGCCGGCGCCGCCTCCGCCATGGTCACCTCGGGCGCGGGCGCGGGCGCGGTCTCCGCCGGCGCCGCCTCCGCCATGGTCACCTCCGCTGGAACGGCCTCCGCCTCCGCCGCCTCCCGTCCATCATGCGGACGGCATGCGGTGCAATCGCAGCGTCGAGCTGTGCGATGCAAGACGCAAGCGTACCAGCGCAGCAGCTGCGCACAGCGGCGCGCTCGGCGTCGTCGGGCAGCGAGCTGTCCAGGAGCCGAAGTTGAGGCGGCGTCGCGGCGAGAAGGCCCGCGACAGTATCGAAGCGGCCGGGGCCGCCGTGAGTCGGCATCGTGTCCGCGGCTGTGTAGGGATCCTTAGGGCGGCTGTGTACTGGGTTCGAACCCTGTTGTAACGTGGCCGCTCCAGCGATTGACCATACCCCCCCACCCGTCGAGCAGGTCGCCTCCGGCGGCCAGGACCATACCCCCCCACCCTTTTGGCGCCGACCCTACCATACCTTACCCCGCAAAAAGTTGGAATCCAGCCCGGCACGCAGAAAGAAAGAAATTTTGGCGCCGTCGTGCTGCTCCTCTCCACCGTGATGCATCTCGCCATCATCGTCACCACGACGTGTCAGCTGCGGACGGGCGTCGCCCGCGACATGCGCACGTAGCCCGACAACTTTCAAACGCTGTGCAAGCCGCGGGCGGCTCCAACTGTCAATGTCGTCTCGCATTGCCGGTACGCGGGCCTGGCTGCTCTCTCTCTCCCCCCCCACTCCCCATCGAGACTGAGCCCCCGGTGAGCACGGGCTGCGGCGCGACCCTTGCCGTCCCCGCGCACGCAGGTCACCATGGCTGCATCAGAGCTGCTTTGTCGTGCGCACTCGAGCAGCGCGCAGCGGTCGCGCCCACCTGTCACCTCGCCTCGCCGGCTGCATCCCGCTCGCCACCATCCCTGGGTCACCGCCACTGCCCCTGTCCCTTGCCGCCGCCGTCGCCGTCCGATTCCTCCCTTGGGCCAGGTTGCAGGTACCAATGTTGTCGAATTTATTTCAAAATCTGCAGGCGCGCGGAGCGCCTGCGAAAATTTTGAAGAAATTTGTGGCCGGGCCTGATTTTCAACAATATCTTTCAAATTTGCGGTGTGGAGTTGGGGGGTGGGTTAGTTTTAGGGTTAGGGTTAGGGTTAGGGTTAGGGTTAGGGTCAGGGTCAGGGTTAGTCTTGTTGTGTCTGTATATGCCAGCGTTGCAGGGTTCTGCGCTGGGATCTGGCCCCACAGCGCCGACGACTGAGACTCTCAGCCCCGCACGCTGACCTAGGGTTAGGGTTAGGGTTAGGGTTAGGGTTAGTCTTCTTGTGTTTGTATGCCAGCGTTGCAGAGTTCTGCGCTGGGATCTGGCCCCAGCGCCGACGAGTAAGACTCAGCACCGCACGCTGACCCCACCAAATGCCGCCTCAGGGCGCCAGGCCGCCAGCCACCTCTTAGCTCTTACACGCGGCCGGCGCCCTCTCGCGGCAAAAGGGTCGAGCGAGCGCGGGCAGAGTCGCGATGTCTGCGCACCCGCGTGCCGATGGGCGGCACACGCAGCGGAGAGAGGCCCTGTCGCGCCGCCAGTAGTTCCGCACTCCCCACGCCACCAATTGCCGCCTCAGGGCGCCAGCCACCTCTTACACGCGGCCGGCGCCCTCTCGCGTTAAAAGGGCCGAGCGAGAGCAGCAGGTTGCGTGCTCTTCTCGCAAAAGATACGTTGGTAAGGGGGTAGAGGGTACTGTACGTACGTAGTGACTACCCTGTAGTGTTAAGAGATAGTAGTAGGGCAGTTTGGCGAGTGTAATATTACGCTGCGCCCCAGCTGGGCGCCCAAAGTTTTCGAGCATGCGTGAAACGCGCCCGTGTTTGGTTGTGAGGATCCTCGGCTCTGTGAGGTCGTGTGAGTGGTCCGATTTGTGGTACGCGATGGAGCATGTCGCGGAGGTCAAGCCCTGCATCGACCCGCCTAGCAGTGTGAGCCAGTCTGACAGTGAGGAGAAGACGGAGGCGGAGGTGGTGGCGGAGGAGGAGACGGAGACAGAGACGGAGTCAGAGGCGGAGGCGGAGGCGGAAAAGGCGGCTGCGGGGAAGGCGACCGCCGAGGTGGCAGAGCAGGCGGCGGCCTCGGAGAAGGCCCGCCTCGAGGAGGCGGCACGTGTCAAGGCGGACAGACTACGCCTAGAGGAGGCCGCCCGAGCCAAGACCGAAAAGGCGGCGCAGGAAGAGGCTGCAAGGGTGGCGGCCGAGGAGGCGGCTAAGGAGGCGGAGAGGGCGGCAGCGGAGAAGGCGGCTGCGGAGAATGCGGCTGCGGAGGCTGTTGCAGCGGCGGAGGCTCAGGCTGCTGAGGCGGCAGCTGCTGCGGAGCGTCTACGCCTAGAAGACGCAGCGCGCAAGCAAGCACAAGTCGGGGCGCAACAGCAGCAACAGCAGCAGCAGCAGCAGCAGCCCGTTGTAACAAAGGCGCAGGGCTTCGATCTGCACCTCTCCGATCGGAGCAACAGTGGCTATAAGCACGTGTACGCTGGCAAGCCTAGCCGCAAGGGTCGCCGCTTTGAGGCGAAGGTGCGCCGCAGCGGCGGCGGCGTGGAGCACCTGGGATACTTTGCCACGGCGGTGGAGGCGGCGGTGGCCTACGCCAAAGCGGTCGCGCCTGCAACAACACCTCCGACACTCCCAGATCGCTCGCCATCTCTCGGGCGCAAGAAGCAGCAACAGCAGCAGCAGCCAGTTGTAACAAAGGCGCAGGGCTTCGATCTGCACCTCTCCGATCGGAGCAACAGTGGCTATAAGCACGTGTACGCTGGCAAGCCCAGCCGCAAGGGTCGCCGCTTTGAGGCGAAGGTGCGCCGCAGCGGCGGCGGCGTGGAGCACCTGGGATACTTTGCCACGGCGGTGGAGGCGGCGGTGGCCTACGCCAAAGCGGTCGCGCCTGCAACAACACCTCCGACACTCCCAGACCGCTCGCCATCTCTCGGGCGCAAGAGGTTCCGGCCGGACGCACGCACGTACGAGGAGGGTTTGCCACCCACGCGCTCGCGCAGGTTGGTGCAACGCCTTGGCCACAACGACGATTGGGGCCACAGGAGAGTCGGAGGCGAAGGAGCCAGCGGCGGCGGCGGCGAAAGGGCCGACCGCTGCTCTGGCGGCGGCGCGGGAGAAGAAGAGCGGGGCAGCGCCGATGCCACCGCTGCCGCGGGGGAGGCTCTAGTCGCGGAGGGGGGGGGAGGAAGGGGAGGAGGTGGCGGTGGAGAAGGTGGAGGAGGTGAAGAAGAGGACGAGAAGGAGGCGGCGGCTGCAACCCGAAGCCTCCCATTGGCGAAGTCTGTGGCCGGCGCAGTTGCATTGAACGAGGCGGCAGCGCAGGCAGCTGCAGTAGCAGAGAAATCGACGCTGCCCGGCAAGGTGGAGATGCTCAAAGTGTCGCTCGGCATCGACACAGACAAGACGATGGGCGAGGCCGTGCAGGAGGCTTCCGAGATTCTGGGCCTCCCATACGAGGGGCGGCGCCTCATTGCCCAGGTCGATGCGCTGATTTCTCTGCTGTTCAAGAAGCCTGCATGACCCACCAATAGGGGTCGACGAGATAGGGATCATCATGAATTGGGTCGGACGGGGGGGTAGTGGTACCTACGGTGCGAGGGGCGGCTGCGGGGTGTGTGGAGTGCCCAGCTTCCGGCGGGCCGGCGCCGGTGTCTGGAGATCACCGCTGTTCTGCTTGAGCGTGAGTACGGCTTTGATAATTGGAACGCTGCGACTGCTGCGAGCGCGTGCGCCCCGGGTGTGTGCCGTGATCGTGACTGCCAGGGTGTGCCGTGATCGTAAGATCGAGCTCCTTCACTCCGGGGCCTCGTTTGCTTGGATGGCGGCGTATAAGCTTGGATGGCGGCGTATAAGGTACACATATACAATGAATAGATACAGGAGCGACACACAAGTCACACAGAGAAGGCACTCAAACGGCATTCGGCGGCGGAATCATGGGCGGAATGTCTGCAAATTGGGCAAGCGTCGCCGACGAAGACGCGTCATCCGCCGCGTCTGACTGAAGACCCGACGTGCCGGCGGTGTCGTCAGCGCCCTCGGCGCGATGCAGCCACGTGGGCGCGCTCTCCGTCTCGCGGTACAACCACGCCCGCTGCTGCTGCCGGGCGCCCATGAGCGGGCTCTCCTCTTTTCCACTGACGGCGCCGACCTTCGCGGCGGCCGCGGCGGCCGCGGCGGCGGCCGCCGCCCGCAGCTCTTCGGGGGAGCAGCGGTCCTCGGGCGTCGCCCCAGCCTTGTCCAGTATCCGCCGTGCAAGGGCGGAGACCGGGCTGCAAGAGGCGTCGTCGGCGAGAGGCGCAACGTAGGCGGGGGGCGGGGTGGCGGGGCAAGGCTCGACATCGAGCGGGTGTGCGTCGGAGTCGGAGAGGGAGATGCCGCTAGCGTGGGCAATGCTGAGGACGCCGCTCCCGCGAGCCGGGCTGAAGACGTCGCCCCCGCCTAGCGCGCTCGCTCGACGCTCGGAGTAGTCGATCGAGAGGCTGACCTGATCCGACACCGCGGGTGCGCGCGTGTGTGCTGCGACTCTTCACAGCTCCGAGGTTTTAGGCCGATGTTCGAGGCCGAGGTCAGGCGGAGGCGTGACGCTCACCTCCGAGACGCGGGGAGTTGATGGGCCGCGGCGCGCCTTTGCGGGGAAGGGGCAGCAGGAGGCGCCAGATAACGCCCGGCGGCGCTGCGGAGGTGGGGGGGGGGGGGGGGGGGTTTAAAGGGAAGGGGAGGGAGGGGGTTAGCCAAAAGAGTGGGAGGTCCTTGGAGTGAGAAAGGGCCCAAAGCGAGCAAACCCTCCCCGGGGGGTGGCGCTTGTAGAAAGTCGCGGCGCCGGGGCAAACCAAAAAAAGCCCGGAGGCGGGCATGGCAACCAAAAACAACACCCTTTGTTCGGTGTCCGCGTCGCCCTCGTCCCCCGGAAAAAAATTTGCGCTGCTGTTTTTGGGGGGGGGACACTCCCACGCCAACGAGTGACGCCGTCCGCACGTCACCTAGTCGTAGAAACCTTAGTTCAAACCTGATCCCTGTCCCCCCCCAAACAACTAGGGACAGGAACGCGGTTTTCCTCCCACAAGGGCCTGGGAAACGGGGGCCCAACCCAAGTCACCTTTTTTCTCCCGCGGCAATCGGTGGACGAGCTCATGTAGACGGAGCTTACCCAGGAGGTGCCTAAGGCAAGGCAAGGCAAGCTGAACTCCTCCACACAGGTGAGTGGAGGGGGTGCTCCCGGGAGCCCCCATGTGCGCGGCGTTTGATCTGCGGAATGGGTTGTTACATGCTGCCACCACTACTAGGCGGGCGGCGCCGGTGCGCTCGCAAAAGGCGGAGCCCGACCCGGTGTCGGTGGCAGCCTTGTAGTAGACGCAGCTGAGGACAGAGGCGGGGGGGGGGGGGGGCTCGGTCTCGCGCCAGGCGTCTGGGAGGTGTCTGGAGGGGTGGCTAGGTTTCTGGGAGGTGAGTCCAAGAGGCGCCTGTGGCCGTCGCGATTGAGGTCGTGGCATGTCTCGAGCGAAGCGTCGTGCCGCAGCACGTGGGCGGCGCAGCGTGCGTCCGACCGGCTGAGGCGGCCGTCTGGCGCGGACAGCAACGTCGCTGGCCGCGGGGGCGGCGGCGGTGCCGGTGGTCGGAGCGGCGGCGGGTATTTACAGGTGCCGTAGAATCCGTAGAGGTCTTCATCGCCGGACCAGACGGCGCCGCACGCCTCGCAGGTTGATCGAAACGAGGCAGGGAACGCCTGATTGAACCTGTCGATGCTCGAGCAGGGCAGCGGAGGCGGTGGCGCGGGCGGCAGAGGCGGCGGCGCGGGCGGCGGCGCGGGCGGTGGAAAGGCCGGAGGGGGCGGCGAGGGTGACATGGAGGGCGGCGGCGCTGCTGGCGGCGGCGGTGCTGGCGGCGCTGGTGAGGGAGGCGGCGGCGAGCGCGACGCCGAGGGAGGCGGAGCCGAGGGTAGCGGAGGCGAGGGAGGCGGCGGTGTTGGAGGGAGCGGCGGCAAAGGCGGTAGCACGGGCGGGAAGTGGTAGCCTGGGGCCCACGGAGGAAGCGACGGTGGCGGCGCCGAGGGCGGCGGAGGCGTTGGAGGCGGCTGCAAGGGCGGCGGCACGAGTGGAGGCGGCGGCAAGGGTGGCAGCGAGGGTGGTGGTGGTGTCGGCGGCGGCGGCGGCGGCGGTGTGGGCGGCGGCGGCAAAGGCGGCGGCGGCGTGGGCGGCGGCGGTGTGGGCGGCGGCGGCGTGGGCGGCGGTGTGGAGGGTGGCAGTCGTGGCGGTGGCGGCAGTGGCGGCGGCGGAGAGGGCGGCGGCGGCGGAGGAGGAGGAAGCGACGGTGGCGGCGCTGAGGGCGGCGGAGGCGTTGGAAGCGGCGGCAAGGGCGGCGGCACGAGTGGAGGCGGCGGCAAGGGTGGCAGCGAGGGTGGTGGTGGTGTGGGCGGCGGCGGCGGCGGCGGTGTGGGCGGCGGCGGCAAAGGCGGCGGCGGCGTGGGCGGCGGCGGTGTGGGCGGCGGCGGCGTGGGCGGCGGTGTGGAGGGTGGCAGTCGTGGCGGCGGCGGCAGTGGCGGCGGCGGAGAGGGCGGCGGCGGCGGAGGAGGAGGAAGCGACGGTGGCGGCGCTGAGGGCGGCGGAGGCGTTGGAAGCGGCGGCAAGGGCGGCGGCACGAGTGGAGGCGGCGGCAAGGGTGGCAGCGAGGGTGGTGCTAGTGTCGGCGGCGGCGGCGGCGGCGGTGTGGGCGGCAGTGGCAGCATGGAGTAGCACGTGTACTCCTGCGCGTAAGCAGAGGTCCCTGCCGCCGCCTGACCGGAGCTGGTGAGGTAGCGCACGCAACGCGGAAGCCCCGCATCCCTGCAACCATCCACACTGGCGGCGGGGCTAGCCGTCCACGCGATGGCTGCGCAAGTCACTTCGCCTTGGCAGAGCGCCGTGCATTCGAACAAGGACTCGCAACCTCGCGATACCGCGAAAGTGACGTCCGGTTGGCCACCCTCGCGGCAGTAGCCCGTGCCAACAACGAATGCAGGCGCCAAAGGCGGCGGCGGCCGCGTCGGCGGCGGAGGCAGAGGCGGCGGCGGAGGCGAGGGCGGCGGCGGAGGCAGCGGCGGCGGCGGAGGCAGAGGCGGCGGCGGAGGCGGGGTGGAGGACGCACACTCACGCCAACCCGCGCCACGGAACAAGGTGGACGACGCGTCGCTACCGCAGCTCGAGGGGTCGACGACGTAGCAGAACCGCGCTCCGTTGCCGTCGTGTACGGCGCAGCCAAGCCGACTTGTACGCACCCCGCCGCTCACGCCGTCCGACGCGCAGTCGCAAGCGCCTAAGAAGTTCCGAGAAGCGTGAGCTCGGAGAGAGTTCGGCGAGGGGTTCGCGGGAGCGGCGGCAAGCGGCACCCAGAGCCTCCCCTGCGCAGCCGACCACCCGCACCGCATCCACGTACTCCCAAGCCGCAGAGTCTGTGCGCGACGTGAGGCGTATGCGGCTCGTGAGGGCGGTTGGCGCGAGGAGCGAGATGACCTTGTCGAAGCCGCAGGCCGTGTCGTCGTCGCCCTCCCACGCCACCGCCCACCCCCCTCGACCCGCCTCGGCCTGCGTCCACGCCTCGACCCTCTGCAGGAAGCCGGCCGCCTCGCGCGGGTTGGCGTGCTCGCGCACCGCCACCTCCGCCACCCGCACCGGCGAGGCGAAGGACACGGTGAGCTGGTACGTGCCTTGGTCCCGCCGGGCGGGCGCCCACGAGCCTGCCTTCAGCGTCGCGCAGTCGCCCTCGTTGTGCGAGGGCGGGCCGACCGCCTCCTCCTCTGCCCAGTCTCCGCCGTACTCGGACGTCGCGTACGCCTCTGCCGCGTACTGCGTCACCTCGAGGTCGCACGGCCCTGGCGGCCTGCCGGGGAGCGGCGGCGGAGGCAGAGGCGGCGGCGGAGGCAGAGGCGGCGGCGGAGGCGGGGTGGAGGACGCACACTCACGCCAACCCGCGCCACGGAACAAGGTGGACGACGCGTCGCTACCGCAGCTCGAGGGGTCGACGACGTAGCAGAACCGCACTCCGTTGCCGTGGTGTACGGCGCAGCCAAGCCGACTTGTACGCACCCCGCCGCTCACGCCGTCCGACGCGCAGTCGCAAGCGCCTAAGAAGTTCCGAGAAGCGTGAGCTCGGAGAGAGTTCGGCGAGGGGTTCGCGGGAGCGGCGGCAAGCGGCACCCAGAGCCTCCCCTGCGCAGCCGACCACCCGCACCGCATCCACGTACTCCCAAGCCGCAGAGTCTGTGCGCGACGTGAGGCGAATGCGGCTCGTGAGGGCGGTTGGCGCGAGGAGAGAGATGACCTTGTCGAAGCCGCAGGCCGTGTCGTCGTCGCCCTCCCACGCCACCTCCCACCCCCCTCGACCCGCCTCGGCCTGCGTCCACGCCTCGACCCTCTGCAGGAAGCCGGCCGCCTCGCGCGGGTTGGCGTGCTCGCGCACCGCCACCTCCGCCACCCGCACCGGCGAGGCGAAGGACACGGTGAGCTGGTACGTGCCTTGGTCCCGCCGGGCGGGCGCCCACGAGCCTGCCTTCAGCGTCGCGCAGTCGCCCTCGTTGTGCGAGGGCGGGCCGACCGCCTCCTCCTCTGCCCAGTCTCCGCCGTACTCGGACGTCGCGTACGCCTCTGCCGCGTACTGCGTCACCTATAGCCGACGTCGACGTCGAGGTGTGCCCGAGGTGTGCCGAGATATGACCGCCCTATCTCCGCGCAGTCAGACCTCGTCGCACGCTGGCGCAGCACACTCGCACGCCCACGCGTTGGTCACCGAGCACGCCACCCCAACCGTCCCTCCGGAGCCTAAGGCAAGGCAAGGGTAAGGTCAACTCCTCCGCACACAATAAGGCGGTGGGGCGAGGCGGCCCTCCCCGGAGCCTATACACCGCCACCCGAGAGGTAGCCGAGACATGCCCGAGATGTGACCCCCCCCTCAAACAAAGAGGGATAGAGGCGCTGCACGCCGCGGCCGGTTGACACGTGCACGCGCATGGACATGCACAAGCCATGCACATGCACATGTGCATGTGCCATGTGTGTCTCATCTCGGCTAATCTCGGGTTGATCTCGCGCCGCAATCGGTGGACGAGCTCATGTAGACGGAGCTGACGCAGGAGGTGCCTAAGGCAAGGCAAGGCAAGCTGAACTCCTCCACACAGTCGCCTGTGCCCTGTGGAGAAGGCCCGAGGGCAGGGGGAGGTGCTAGGGGCCGCGCCATGTGCAGAGCTGGAGGCGGGCTCGAGCGCGGCGGGCGGTAGACTAGTTCTCGGGTGTATCTCAGGTATATCTCGAGAGGGGCGGCACCGTGGGCCACGTCTCCAGTGCTATAGTTGCTTGAGGTGGGGGCGTTGCCACCACTACTAGGCGGGCGGCGCCGGTGCGCTCGCAAAAGGTGGAGCACGAGCCGGTGTCGGTGGCAGCCTTGTAGTAGACGCAGCTGAGGACAGAGGCGGGGGGGGGGGGAGGGGGGGTTCGAGCGTGTGTCGTGAACTCTCCGTCTGCGTGGATTGCACGCGGCACTGCTCGTTCGCTCTCCCCGCCCCTCGGAAATGCTCCCGCGCAGTGCAAACCCCTTGCTTGCTACGGGTATGGGTTGCGTCTCTCGTTTTTGTGTGCGTCACTGGGCTGCTGTTCTTTTTAGTGTTGCTTTCTTCCTCTCTATTCTTTCATTTTCCTGTTTGGGATTCCTGATCTGGGCTCCCTTTATTTGTTGTATTGTCTATTTGAAAT